ATCAGAGCAGCTTTTCAGTACTGCACCCGCAACTGCTATGGTCCCGGATGCTGGCACTGTAACCCAATCTGAGTTTGGATCTGGCCATCACCCTCACCCTCCAGGGGCAGCTTTGTGCAAACCTAAGATGCTAAGCAGTATTCAAACTTGGTTTGACCTCAGCAAATATTTCTTTCTCCTTAGTAATCACTCTGTGGGTGTAGTTTTAACACTGCCAGCCTCCATCCCATAGGTACCTTAAGAACTTCGCAGGCACTCAGCAACATTAAAACCATAAATCATGTCAGCTGTCTCTCTTGCCTATTAATACACAATCTGTCTTACCACGACTTGTTTATCTAGCATCACTGTCTGTATGAAACACACATTTCATCATCTACCTCATCAACAAGGAGGCTTCAGGCTCATTGAAAGAATACGCCAAATGGGATTCGCACAATACAGTCTGTGTCGTTTTTTAGTTACATGAGGCTCTTTGCCACTGGACAAATGGTTTCGATGCTTGGAGATGCTTTCTCTTGTGCTTTTAAAATTAAATTAAATGTATTGATTGCTTGTGTGTGTGCATTCGTGTGTACATTTGCACAGGGGCGTGCAAGCCACGGTACACGTGTGGCCATCAGAGGACAACTTTCAGGAGCTGGTTCCTTCCTTCTGCCCTGGGTTCCAGGGATCAAGTTCAAGTCATGGCTGAGCTAGCTCACTGGCTCAAAACTGCATTTCTTCATCTGTGTTTCCTCGCACACTTATGTAAGAACCAAAGGGTATGTGTGTGTCTGTGTGCGCGTGTTCGTGTGTATAATAAAAAGTACTGTGAAAGCCGGGCGGTGGTGGCGCACGCCTTTAATCCCAGCACTCGGGAGGCAGAGGCAGGTGGATCTCTGTGAGTTCGAGGCCAGCCTGGACTACCAAGTGAGTTCCAGGAAAGGCGCAAAGCTACACAGAGAAACCCTGTCTCAAAAAAAAAAAAAAAAAAGGACTGTGAAAACAGGCTGCCATGGTTATTAGCAGTAACAGCAATAAATGTGACGCCTGTTTCCGTATTTGCACATTATAGCCCATTCAATTTTTTCTGCGGCTCTTATTGCTAAAACCCTAATGGCTTTAATATTTGTCTCAACTAATTAATTTCAGTTCTCTAATATAATTTCTTTTTCAGCTTAAGAGAATGGGCTTACTCTTCAAAATAAAAACCTGAAGGTTCCTCTGGCTGTATCCCAGGTGCCCTGACACACGGTCAATAGATCACAGAGTTCCCGATCAAAATCTTGAATTCGTATTCTTGATTAAAAAGCCATTTTGGGTGTGCCTCAGTAGCCCAAACTGTATGGAAGGCTTTAATTCACCAACATGAAGGAAGAAATGGGACTGATAATTAGGCTGATAGGGTGCGTTCACGTTTTACAACACACTTCAAATGCAGGTGTCCTGAAGATGTTTTCAAATGGTGGATGTGATGAAAGTGTCCCATCGCATTTTGAAAAATCCCAACTCTAACAACCACCTCTACTTCCTGGTACTATGTCTCAGTCCGTGCCCCCAAGTCAAGGTGTATATGACACTGACCTGTGAGCAATGCCTGGCTCACACCCAGGAGATTCAGGACTGAATCTGCTCTTACCTCCCTTTGCATCATGTGTCCTTCAACATCATAACAGGCGTGACAAACGCCATGTGGCCACCTGTCACCTGCCCTTAGCACAGGCAGAAAGGGCTTTTAACTCGAAGGCCATGCAGGCCCCAGAAAGCACACTCTTGTAGTGCTAACTCTACCTCACTATAACAAAATACCTGAACAACCAAATGAAAGAGAAGAAAGGGTTGGGGGCTCCGTTTGGGATGTCTCACTCACGGTTGTCTGTCTCCACTGCTTTCGGGCCTAGTGACGTAGCGCGTCACAGGAGATGTGCACACGTGGCACAGGAAGCCAGACGCTCGGTTCATGGCACCAGCAAAGCCAGGACAGAGAGGCAGGTGGGGCCGAGGTCCCCAAAGACCCTGTGAAGGCACACCGCCAGTGACCTTGTTTCTTCCCGTCAGACCTCACCTTCTAAAGGTCCCACCACGCTCAGATAGCACTGTGGGGGTGGAGGGGAGGTAGAAGTCTTCAACTCATGCTCTTTGAGGAACATTTATCTAAACCACAGTGATGAAATAAAAGGCTCTGTGGAGGCTCAAACTTTCTATTCCCTTCCTCCTCATGTTCTAATTCATGGCTCCAGAGCACAGAGGGAAAGGTTTTTCTATGAGGGGTCACATGATGAGCATGCCAGGCTTCACAGGCCACATGGTCTCCATCATGACAAACTGGTTGTGTGTCATCGTCGTCATGACAACACAAACAGAACAAAACGACCAGAGTGAGCATGCCCACTCTGTCCCAAGCAAAGGCCGGTAGTAAGGAAAACCTGGCACGTGGACCATGGGCTGCTGACCCTGCTCGAGAAGCATGCACAGACTAGCCCGGTACTCAGCAGCCTCATGGTGCCTGAGGAACGTTCTGCTACCTTAAATGATGCACATTACTCACTCTTTTGGATACATAAATATCTAGACCCAGCATACACCAAGCTTAATACTGATTTCTCCATTGCCAAGTAGATAATGAATATTAGAATAATTTTTAAAATTTAATCAAAACATTTAACGAGCACCAGTGAGGTGATGTGGTAGATAACGGCACTTGCCACACAAACTTGACAACTTGAATTCTGTCTCTGAAACACGTGTAAAGGTTTTAAGGTAGAACGGAGTCCACAAAATTATCCTCTGACCTGCCCATGCATGCTGTGGCATGTGTGTACTGTATACACACACACACACACAGCCTCACTCTGCACCAGACCCCAGAAGGACAGTGAGGACTTGCTGACTTCACAGCCAGTTTCTGGCTTCGGGAGGGTGCGTCTGGTTCCGGCAGTATCCCCTTCGAGGCTCTGACCATGAGGTGCAGGCTGAGGCAGCTGAGACGCCCTAGAGAACTTCAAGATCACCTACAGTGACGCCATGAAGGCCCCCATTCCTCACTTGCCCGCCCATCCCTAACTGTAAGTCCCCCAGGGAGGCATTCTCAGAACCACGTGCGTACTTGGGGTCACCAGAGTCTGAACACAGACAGGTGCTAGCCCAGTGGAAGTGAAGCGGGCTTTTGAAAACAATAATGACTATTTTATCCTAAAATTTAATATTAGCAATGTTAGTCTCTAGTCTGCCTTTTATTTTAACGTGTAATTTTGAATATTTTATAAAGTAATTTTGAAATTTATATTTTTAATGAAACCATGTATTTTATGTACTTTGGACACAATTACTTTTAATCCAGTATATGTTCGAGAAGTGGAACAAGTTGAGATTGTTTGGTAAACAGAAATTATGAAAGTTAAATTCAGAAAAGAAAATTGTTAAAATGAAAAAAAAACTTCAAAGAAGCAGTCTATTTAATTTCTACATTTTTATCCATTTTTTTTATTTAGGCATACATCTGTGGGGGGGGGGGTGTGCATTTGAGTGCAGAGGCCAGAAGAGGGGCTGTATCCCCTGGAGCTGAGTTACAGGCGGTTGTCGGCTGCCTGAGGTGGGCGCGGAACCGGAAGCTAAGCCATGGCTGGAGAAGCAGCTCAGCCTTGAAAAGCTAAGACTCCCGGAAGTCAAGACAGCAACCGCCAAGCCACCTCTCCAGCTGCCACTTAAATGTCTGCAATGTGAAAACTGACATTGAGCAGGCTTGTGGAGAAAATGAGTCATAAAGAATTCAGGAATAGGTCACAAGAATGTCCTTTTGTTTTACATAAAAGAAGTAATCAGAATTTTTTTACCTATAATTTATTTTTTGCTTATCTCCCATATTAAATGGGAGAACGTTGAACATAGGGTTCTAATTAATTTAGAAAATGGGAAATTAAGCTGCATCATAGTTTTCTGCTCATAAAGATTAGAAATGAATATAGTTATAAAGCATATTATTTCCATAAATACCTGTAAATCTTTGAAGACTCCTTTTCCATATATACATATGTGGATACATACACAGGAATATGTAATAAACAATATAATTAATATAATATATATGTATATATACACACGAATAGTTTTTATAAATACACACATGAATATATTATATTGTATATGTGTATATGTATACACATGAGTATAAAACATAAATATATACATGAGTATATGTGTATATATTTACATAAATAACAGTATATACCACATGAATATATGTGCATGTGTAACTCATGGATATATAAATATATGCATGAGTTTATTATATCGTATTCATGTGTCATGGCATATGTCTTGGTAAATATACTGGCACATTTGGGAACAAACACGAGAAGAACTCCAAGTTCGGAACCACTAAGATAAAATCCTAAGGTTTTTATACTTCTTCAATTAAATCAACTGATTTGTTGTTCTGAATTTAAGAATACAAAATAGCAAGTTCTGCTCTTTGATCTTTATGAACTTGGCTTGATTTATGACCAGGTGTGAGGGCGCAGACCTGTAGTCTCGGCACTTGGGAGGCTGAGGCAGGAGGATTTCAAGTTTGAGGCTAGCCTGGGCTACCGAGTGAGACCCTATCTCGAAGGAAACACGTGAGGGAACCACTGTTTCACACAGGCTTCCAACGCTTCTGTGTGCAGCAGCGTGGCTGTCAAGGTAAGAGAGAACACACTGAGCAGCTGGCTCGCTAGGTTCCTAACCTTTCTTTCTTACTTCAGGTTTACAACGTTTCAACGTATAAGCACAGACTATCAGCGCCACCCGGGGCCCTTTCCCAGACTTGGAGTATAAAACACATTTTGGTTCACTCAAATCATGAAAACAAATACACATCAGAATTAATTTTCAGATGCTATTTTTGTGGGGAAAGACGTCTGACTGGCAATAATCCTTAGGAAGGAATGACTGCTGTGGGGTGGGGGGGGGTGGGGGAGGTGGGGTGGAGTGGGGTGGGGTGGGATGGGGTGGGGTGGGATGGGGTGGAGTATGGAGAACCACAGGTCAGGGTAAGAGACAGACTCGGGGTGCTGGAAGTTGTGCTGGGTTACTGTTTTGCCTGTGCTGATGTCATTAGGGGGCAGGAGCATGCTGTGACATGGACAGTTGAGGAGAATGTCATGGAAACCGTTCGACAGTCTTAAACCAGGATCCTGACACCTTACATCAATCTCTTAAAAAACAACTTAAACTTTGGTTTGATTTTCATGTATGTGTCTGTGTGAGTGTAGACCATGTGTGTACAGGTGCCTATGGAGACCGGAAGAGGGAAGAGGGGCTCAGGTCCCTGGGGCTGAATTGAAGGCCGCTGTGAACTGCCTGACATGGGTCCTGGGATCTAAACTTGGGTCCTCTAGAAGAGCAGCAAGTCCTCTAAACTGCAAAGCCACCTCCCCAGGCACAAATCAGGGAGGCATCCCAGCAGGCTCTGACCACTCCCCCGATTCCTAAGGCCTGAAGGAAACATCAGAACAGTGCTTCTGTGGAGAAACTTGAAGACTGATCAAAAACACGATGGAGGCTTTTGCATGACGATAATGATGATGATGATGATGATGACCGTGACAGTTACAGACAGTGATGATGGAATCCTTCCATTGAGGTAAATCAAGGGTTTTGAAGACAGGGCAGTTCTCCTTTGTCTTTTCATCAGCAAGACTATGGGGTAACAGTGGGATGGGATCTATCTAGGAAGCCCAATTATTCACCACTGCACTGTGACTTTAGATTTATTTATATGGGTGAATATTTTTGACTGCATGTACGTGCACCACAGAAGACAGAAGAGACATCAGAGCCCCCGGAACTGCTCTGTCCAAGAATGTTACTTCCCCAGTCCTTAGGCCTCAATCTCCCCTCCCTCATCTCTCTGTAAGTCTCCCTGATTCTATCAGACATCTTCCATCACGACACCAGCTGAACCGAACCCAGGTCCTCTGGAAGAGCAGCCAGTGCCCTTAACCACTGAGCCATCTCTCCAGCCCCATCGTACTGTTACTTTACACCTTCACGTTTGAAACAGGAGAAGGCTGTACACAAGATGCTAACACAGTGGTCACGCTTAGTGTGCGACTTGTCGATGATGGAGGAGTTAAACTTCATGTTTCTGACGCTCACTGCGGTGACCGGCCATGCTCCTGCTGTTGACTCCGACACTAATTCTTGCCTAAGACTGGATTAGGTAAAAAATAACTAAAGTCATCTAATTACTCTTCCATGGTTAACTAGAGTACCTGGCATGCCTTGTGGGGGGCCCTGTGCCCCAGCTAATGAGGCATGGCACTCATGTATGAACTGCTCGCTCTGCCTTGACTCCCAGGCCGCGACACCAGTACTCAGGGTAGCCTCGCATTCAGCACATTCGGGCCAAAGGAAATTTGCTCCTATTCTTAATCAATTCAGCTTATATAAAATTCTTCCCAGGAAGACTATCCTTCCAATGACCAAAACATGATGTGACTGGAAAACTTGTGAACTATTATTCTAGGATGGTGATTATTTCTGAGTCACAGGCCCAGGCTTGTGACGTCAGTCATGAAACATCTGGAGAGTTGAAGAAAGGTACAGAAGAGTACGGTAAGCTCTTGAACTAAGTACCACTTAAAGCACTGACACAAAACTATCTAAAAGTTAAAACCTCGGCACTTCCTAATCAAAGAACCTTCGAGAGAGCAGCATGCCCTTAAGTCCCTGAAGAGCTGTGAAGTTTCCTGAGAATTGATACGGTTCGTTTGTTCATTTGTAGAGAGGAGGCCAAGTGTTACCTCACTAAGTACTGTTTGGAGGGAACATGAATGGAGGCTCCAGATCATCACTATTACGTCATTAACAGATGTAGAAAGTATATAAACATCTCATCTTTATCAGACATTAGAAGGCTCCCTGTGAGCAGTGGAGTTATGGCTCAGCAGTTAAGAGCACCGGCTGATCTTGCAGAGGACCCGGGTTCGGTTCCCAGCTCCCACATGGCGGCTCACAACCATCTGTAACTCCAGTTCCAAGGGATCTGATGCCCTCTTCTGGCCTCCACAGGCATCAGGCATGCATGCAGGCAATCATACACTTAAAATAAAAATAAAATCTTTTTTTGAACCTCCACAATAAAGTTTCCTTGATACTTTTAAAAAGAAAGAACTTTTTTGTAAAGATTCCATCTTTGAACAATGTCTAGAGTTAGCAAAACTGATTATATATGTTACATACCTGTGTGGCAAGGTGGTTCGAGGCCAGTGTAGCCAAATCTCAATGTCACTACACAAGTGTTTTCTCCATGGTAACATTTAAATAAATAAGCTTGAGTAAAGCAGATTGCATTCCATCATGGGTGTGGGCTACACCCAACCAGTGGATATCCTTAGGAGAAAAAGACAGAGTCCCAGAGGAAGAAGGAACACCAGCTCCAGCTGCCTGCCACACTTGAGCGCAGTATGGAGTCTCCCGTGGGTCCTGAGCTTGCTCACCTGCCCTAACAATCTCAACCTCCCCAGGTGCTCGAACCAGGTGTGGAACACAAATCTACAGCACAGATAAACATTCTATCAGCCCTGTTTCTCTGGAGATACCTGACTAACACAACGAGCCCTTGGATCCACCTTTATGAACGGTAAACATGTGATCCAGCAAGAGCTACGGTGGGTCTTTGGGAACCATGGTCGGACAGGGAGCAGCCACTGTCACATCACATAAGAAGATGTGACAGGAAGGAAGCACCATAAAGCCCACTGCAAAGTCCAAATGCTGAGACTCCAGGTCTTAGGCCCACTCAGGTCAGACTCTTTAACTCATGGAAGGGCCAAGCCTCCCTTTTCCTGTGCGCAGAATCAAAGACCTGACCCAATCTCACCCCCTCAGGAGACTGTATGTAAGATTAACTTTATTAAAAAGAACTCTGTAAATTACGAGACATGTAAGGTACCTCAGAAGTTCCAGTACAGTTTAAGTGAGAAGTCACAGCCAAGCCTTCGGGGCCTCATGAGGATGCAGACTACAAGAAGAGGCCCTTCCCATTGTGTCTCTAAAACGGGAAGTGTCACACACGTGACACCAGGTGACAATAACTGCCATGCTGCTCATCAACAGCAGGGAACAATCACACACAAACTGTGTGTTTCTAAAACGGGAGCTAAATCGGAGCAAAGCGAACATATGGAATTATCAGATACGCACGTGCAGGCTGAGACCCTGCCAAGATGAAGCACGGTGGAGCTCTGGGATATGTTGATCTACTCAGAAATACACACCCAAGGAAGGCCAGCAGTAACCACTAAGCATAGGGTCTTGAAAATCTGGGTCTTTTTTTTTTTTTTTTTTTAGTAGTAGCACATGCCTTTAATCCCAGCCAGGGCTACACAGAGAAACCCCGACTCAAAACAACAACCAAAACCCCATTGCACAGGTAAAATGCTTTTATCATGTACATGTAGATCAAATAAAGCATCACCTCTGGACACTGAACAGCAAGCCCTGGCTTTTCTGTGAGCCCCCCAAGAAAGTATAAACCATGGCTTCTAAAGAGTTCCTTCTCCAGCCAGGTGGGGGAGCACACGCCTTCCCCTTTAATCCCGGCACTTGGGGCAGAAGCAGGAGGATCTCTGTGGGTTTGAGGCCAGCCTGGGCTACAAAGCCGAGTTCCAGGACATCTAGGACTATTAGAAAGACTGACGCACTCTCTCTCTCTCAAAAAAAAAAAAAAAGTTCCTTCTCGTGAAAGAGAGAGAGAGAAACCTGATAATATAGGACTTTGCCAGCATCATCTGAAACTATACACTCCTTAAAACCTGGCTTTGGTTTCTTTGGTCCAGTAGACCTAAGTCTGGGGGGCATACACCACTCAGTCAACCTCCATCTTCTTCTGCAAAGAATCGATGAAGGCTTGCCACTCTGTTGGGTAAAAGCGCTTATAGACATTGACCTTATTCCAAATCTGTATTGGGGTATCTTGATAATAATTCTTCTCATCCCAGGCCATAGCCTTATAATCTTCCCCATGATTTTCCACCATGTAATGAACATATTCAATGAGGTCCCCAGACAAGGTATTTCCTTTCTTCTCTGGGAGGCTGGCTTCTGCCTCCGGCTCATTTACCACACAGGGCTTCCGCACAAGATCCTTGGGTCTCTCCCCCCAGTCTACCTCCATGGCCTTTACCTTCCTCTTACGAAGGGGAGCCGCCTTGTTGGGGTCCATGGCCAACCCTATCTCCGCCAGGTTCTGCCACACGGATTTGGTGTGGTCCCAGGCATGTCGGATGTGGGAGCACTCAATCCATGGAGCTGCCTTCCAACCAGCATTCTGGTTCAGACGCTTTCGGTTGACACTGTAACCAAACTTCTGCCTCCTAGTCTTTCCCTTGGCCTTGGGCAGCGCACAGATGGGGCCGCACCAGAAGCTCAAACTCTGAAGCAGCAGTTCAAACTCCGGAGCACACTCACAGAGCCGTGTGTTAACACACTCCATCCCCCACTGCGCACAGGGATTCCTGGAAAATGTAGTCTTCTTAGTGGCGCCGCCACATTGATTTACAGCTCCTAGAATGCACCTGGCAATGGCCAATCTGGGTTCTTCTAAGCAAAGACTTAGATGTTTGCTATGTGTGATGGTAACTCAGAAGCTGTGGTTCCAAGTGATGTAAAAACCATCCCAATGGGCTTGTTCAGTCCTTGTCAGCTGTGCCGGTTCCTTTTTGTCAACGTGGCACACACTCCAGTCACCTGGGAAGAGGGAATGTCAACCAAAGAATCACCTCCATCAGATAGACATGTGGGTATGTTTCTGGGTCACGCTCTTGATAAATGATTGATGGGGAAAGGCCCATCCCATTGAGCCTGGGCTGTATAAGAAAGGTAGCCAGAGCGCCACGGAAAACATGGCAGTCAGCAGCGTTTCTCCATACCTACTGTTTCAAGCCCACGCCTTGAGCTCCGGCATTGGCTTCTCTTGAGGATGGACGGCAACCTGTAAACCAAGTCCACCCTCTCCTCCCCAAGTTGCTTCTGCTCATGGCATCCGTCACAGCAACAGAAATCAAATCAGGACCACAACTGTAAGTCGGCAACCAAACCTGCAGTCACTGGCCCTGCATGACACAGAGGCCTTGCTGGACACAGGGTGTGGCAGGCTTAGTGGCTGTGGCTGTGGCCAAGGTAAGATCTTAGGATGCTAAGTCAGCAGGACGCGGCCTGCAGTCAGGACCACATGCCTCTCCCAGAGGTGATGCTCAAGAAATGAAGTCACATGGGAAGGAAGACAGAGGAGCACTGGAAGAGGGTGGCATCCCAGCACCATCCCAAGGACTTTACAGTTACTAATAAGGGAAAAAAGGTCCTGGGCATCTGACGTGAAAGGGGCATTCATCTTTTACTATAAAAGTTTGTATATTGTTCATGTATATGCACACACTCTGTTTTCATTAGAGGGCTGATTTTGAGTTAAAACTGTCACAAATAAAAGACAGCAAGGAAAGAGAAGAGAGGATGGAGAGCGGAAAGGGAAGAGGAAAAGAGTACGGGAAAGAGGGAAGGCTGGCTGACTCCCTCACAGCCCGTTCGTGTTCTTGGCCAATAACAGTCAAGAGGGAGACATGGATAGAAAATTGGAAGGCCCCACTCCCATGCAGCTCTAATCTTAATGCTTTGAAGAACTTTCCAAAGCGGCTGTACATCTTAAACCTTCCAGCGGCGCAAGTTCCAGTTCTCACACATCCTCACCAACACTGTCCTGTGCTGTGTGTCCGTGGGCTGCTCCTCAGGCCAGCGACCCCTGAGTTAAATCCTTAACCCATTGGTATGGCGGGGAGGGGAGTGTGTATTTGTGTGCATGCATGTGGAGGCCGGAGGTCACACTAAGTGCCTGCTTCAATTCTTCCCCTTGTATTTTGAGATAGGGTCTCTTACAGAACCTGGTGCCTGCAGATGCAGCTGGACTGACTGACTTGATCTCTCCATTGAGATCTTTGTGTGTTTTTTGTTTGTTTGGTTGGTTGGTGTTTTTTTTTTTTTTTTTTTTTTTTTTTTTTTTTTTTTTTTTGGTTTTTCGAGACAGGGTTTCTCTGTGTAGCTTTGCGCCTTTCCTGGAACTCACTCTGTAGACCAGGCTGGCCTCAAACTCACAGAGAACCGCCTGGCTCTGCCTCCTGAGTGCTGGGATTAAAGGTGTGCGCCACCACCGCCTGGCTGGTTGGTGTTTTTTAACGAACAAAACATGAGTTTTTTAGTTTATTTGGTGAGAGTAGAGGAAAGTGGGCTGACCACTCTCCCCGAAGCCTAAGTCCCCCCACTCCATATTAACTCATTTCAGAAGTACCCAGAACTGCTGGTCCCATCTCTGCCTCACTCTTGTCAATGTGACTCTCTCCAGAGAATCCCCTGTGGTGGTATTGTGTTCCCCAAAATATTGTACACCCTAATAAATTTATCTGGGGTCAGAGACAGAACAGCCACTAGATACACAGGCTAGAAAATGGTGGCACTCACACCTTTAATCCTAGCATTCCAGAGGTAGAAATTCCTCTGGATCTCTGTGAGTTCAAGGCCACATTGGAAACAGCCAGGCATGATGACTCACGCCTTTAATCCCAGAAAGCAAGCCTTTAATCCCAGGGAGTGGTGGTAGAAAGCAGAAAGGTATATATATAAGGCGTGAGGACCAGAAACTAGAAGCATTTGGCTGGTTAAGCTTTCAGGCTTCTAGCAGCAGTTCAGCTGAGAGCCATTGGGATGAGGACACAGAGGCTTCCAGTCTGAGGAAACAGGATCAGCTGAGGAATTGGCCAGGTGAGGTTAGCTGTGGCTTGTTCTGTCTCTCTGACCATCCAGCATTTCACCCCAATACTTGGCTCTGGGTTTGTTTTATTAATAACACTCTCTAAGATTCCTGCTACAATCCCCACTTCTTTTAATCTGCTACTTCAGCGTTGTACAGGTTGAAGAACCAGATACTCAAATCCTTGGGAGGTAGATTTAGACGGATGAGGACTAACAGACCCCTGCTTCATAAACTAAGTTTCTGGCATGCCTTTAGGGTGCTCTAATATCGTCCTGGCAACAGTCTCCCCCTCACCGTCTAGTTAGTTGAAATTGCACCTAAACGACCACCAAGAAGGCCCACGGTATTTACAGATTTATTTTGCCTTGATGAAGGTAGATCTAGCCTGTGGTGTCCTCATGAGAAGCAAGCACCTAATGCCAAGTGCAAACTGCTGAGAAACCATCTAGCTGGAAGGACCCTTACCCAGAGGGACACCTGAGGCCACAGATAAGCTAAAACCCTGGGGACTCCAAGCCACTGTGCAAACTGAGCAGGAGCAAGGGATTAAATGCGGATGCCTGATAAGCCCTGTGCCATATTCCCTTACTCTCTCATCATCAGAGAAACGCAGCACAATGGTTCAGAGCATCTGTTAGTTACCGCAGACAGGCTGAACCATGGCCCCCAGTTTTTGTGAGAAGGCTAGGCTAATACTTGGTTGAAGCCTCCTCACCCTCGGGGTACACTTTGTGTCTTCTAGCTCAGGCGTATCCCAAAACATAGAAATTACGTTTCCCCCCCATCCCCCGCCCCGTTCCATAGCATTCGGAATCAGCTCTTTATGTCATTCTGCAGTGCTCGTCCACATCTTTGTCTCTGGAAGAGAAGACATGGGCCACACGAAAGAGTCTGGTTTCAGTGTGGAATTCTATGGCTCCAAGTTACTATTTCCCTCCTCTACCAGAACGAGGGAAATGCCTTCTACTGGGTTATGAGACACTTTGTAGAGAAAAATCACTGTATAAAAGAAACAAGGATGTCTGATGAATGGCGATCAGCATTCTCAGCTGGTGGAGAAAGAAGAAAGCCGTGTCTCCATGAAGGGAAAGAACACTGGGTCGTCCACCTAAGTCATTAGCACCCCTGGGTCAAAGGGCTGAGGCGACCAAGAATCCACTCAGCGCCTCCAAACCCAGTCCTTTGTGCAGTGGAGTCCATCCTTCAACACACAACACGTGCAAAGGCAGATACAGAGGCCCAGACTGTGAAAGCCATCCCGCTCTAAGATCCCTTCCCTCTGTTCCCAGCACACAGTCTTCCCACCACCTCAGCTACGCCTCCCATGTACCCCATACTTCCTTGCATTCCCTCTCCCCCGCCTTTAATCTCCCAAGAGCTTGTTGGGGCTTTCTCCCCAGCCACCCACCCCCCTATCCAGTCTGGATTTTAGTCCATGGGTTGTGCCCTCAGCGGGCCCTCCCTTTCAGAACAAATCCCCTGCCTGTGGCGACACTGACATTCCCGCTGGGCTACACCTGGCCTGGCTCTGGAGTGTTAGCACCTACCCCTGATCCATCTTTTGTTTAGCAGACATCCTCTCTTTCTCTTGTCTCTCTATGTGAATCCTGTCTGAGAGTTTCCCACGGATACAAAGCCTAAGCAAAACTTGGTTCTGGAAACCGGAAAACTGTGGTACCTGATGAATCGAGAAATTCGCACTTGGCATTGTATTTTTGGAAGCTTTTTTCAGGTTATTTTGAGCATATGGAAATCAACTGGCTAAAGTGTAAATATGGAGAAAAATAAAAAATGCCCTGGGCAAAGGGAAAGCATTTCAGTCCTTAGAGGCTGAATCCCCCTGCAGCTGTGAAAGGCTAGATTTATTCCTTATTTTTATTTTTATTTTTATTTTGCAATACAATTCAGTTCTACATATCAGCCACGGATTCCCTTGTTCTCCCCCCTCCCGCCCCCCTCACCTTCCCCCCAGCCCACCCCCCATTCCCACCTCCTCCAGGGCAAAGCCTTCCCCGAGGACTGAGGTCAACCTGGTAGACTCAGTCCAGGTAGGTCCAGTCCCCTCCTCCCAGGCCAAGCCAAGTGATCCTGCATAAGCCCCAGGTTTCAAACAGCCGACTCATGCAATGAGCACAGGACCTGGTCCCACTGCCTGGATGCCTCCCAAACAGATCAAGCCAATCAACTGTCTCACCCATTCAGAGGGCCTGATCCAGTTGGGGACCCCTCAGCCATTGGTTCATAGTTCATGTGTTTCCATTCATTTGGCTATTTGTCCCTGGGCTTTATCCAACCTTGGTCTCAACAATTCTCGCTCATATAAACCCTCCTCTTTCTCGCTAATTGGACTCCCAGAGATCCACCCGGGGCCTAGCCATGGATCAAATGGTCGAGATACAGCCTGAACTGACCTACTCTGGTGATGGGATGGCCAAACACCCTAATTGTCGTGCTAGATTTATTCTTAAGGTGCCTCTGAGTCCTCATTCAACAGGCCCGCATGAACCCACACACCCACACAGCGACACCTGCCCTTTCAAATCTGCAATCCTGTGGATTCCTGACAGTTTCTTTGGAGGTTCTAGCAGGCCAACCAACCAACAGTTCTCCTCTACTAGAGAAGGAAGTCCTTTCCAAACAACCACGCAGCTCGAAGGGGTGAGCAACAGGAGCAGCAAAGTAAGAAGGGGACACCTGCCCAGTCAACCCTAGTGACCAATGAGTGACAGGTGTTCAAGGCAGACTGCCCTCCCTTCCTGCCTCCCATTCTCTTGGAAAAAAAGACTTTGGTGGGAAACAGCAAATTTGAATGGAAGGTTCCCAGGAAAGAAAGGAACACTGTGAAGAGGCACCCAGCAGGAGCACTGAATGGCTGTGGAGTGGCCCACACCATGGGACAAGAAAAAAGAAAAGAAAACCTCAAGGAAGTGTCCGCCTTCGGGTTGAGGAATGCCAAAGGCTGCTGAGAAGCTTGCAGAAGGAACCTGAGAGATTCCATCAGTGTCTGGTACAGAGCAAAGCAGCCAGGTTCCAATGACGGTGAAGAGCAGAACATGTCACCCAGGCCTGCAGGGGCTCCCACGAGACCTTGGGACTGGGCCCAGGCAGCACTTCTCCCTGGGGTCAGGTTAAGCGTGAGCTGGAGTTCTTTTGAGCATGTGGGATTGCTGAGGACAGAAGGAGAGGCAGAGATCTGCAGGGTCTAAAGCGGGGGTTGGGGGAGGGGGAGAGAAGTGTTTGGCTTAAAAATAAGGCTTTCATTTTAGCAGTGAGAACCTCTCATACGCGGCCGTCAATTTTCCCAGACATGACACCCAGGAAAACATCATATATGTGGGTCACACGGAGCTGCCTGGTGATAGTGGGGTCTTTTTATGGCAACATCATTAAGCTATTTATAGCAAGCAATTAAAAAGGCTCTAAGTGGGCCACCACATTCCCATCTGGCGGCTCTGGCTGTGGTGGCATAAAACAGGCAATGAGATAAAAAAGCTTTTTCACAACACTGCGACACAGCTCCACAAAGGCCATCCATCGTTGGAGGCTTATAAAACCGCCATTAGGTGGCCTTTATATTTTCTTTTGTAAAGTCACTTCAGTTATGCATGGGGTGAATTACACGCAGTGCCGGCCACATTGTGGGAAATCATATGGTTTGTTTAATGCCAAGCTGACATTAAAGCAAGCAGGTGGGCAGACAGTCACACGGACCTAACAGGCAAGTAGGAGATGTACTTAGGGTAGGGTTAGGGTGTCATCTCTGAGCTCACACAGACCAGAACATGAGTCACAGCTTTGCCAATAAGTGTGACACTGGGGATGTTGGTCTCTGGAACTTCAGTTTCTGGTGTATAAAATCAGTGCCTAGCAACTGACTTCTGTGTTTTCTGCATATGACGGGCCAATCGACTCTGGCACCTGACAGATCTGCAAATGACAACAGCTGCTTCACTAACACAGTGTAGGCCAACCCCCCTAGCCGTGAACTTGCAGAAACCAGTTAGCTCATCCAGGAGCCAGCCTCTGGTCACTTACTGCGCTCCTGGTCACCGGCAAGTATGCTTCACCAGACTACTGGGCATGCGTGCGCACACAGTACTCATGTTCTTAGAAGTGCATCTTTACGTGCCACAGCTGTACTTCAACACCATTCCCACCATAGCCCCTTCCTATGCAGACCCCC